ATATATATATATATATGCAACAACCCTCGAGAAAACTTTTAATTTGTTTGAACCAAAATCCCATGTTTCTAAAACATGAAGCCCAACATGTGTCGATCCGGTACAAAAATGTGTCAGAGCGGCTTGTGCAGGTCTGGCAAGCGGCCAGGCCGACTTCTGACATTAAAATTCTAATGGTCTAACACAAAATGTATCAATCTAGCTTATATTGAAATTGTACTTGACAAATTTAGAGAGAGTGGGAAACATGACCTAAAATGAGGGTATTTTCATTCAAAAATAATAATTTGTTTACCTTGAGAGTGGTTGTAAAAATATAGCATGATATCAAGAGTGTTGGAGGGCATTATGCCCATAAAGTACAAATTTGAGTGTATCTATAATTTTTTGATGGGACTGTCTATTTTTTAGGTTTTAAAGTATTTATAAATTTCCACAATTTTTTAAGTATTTATATATCTCCTTAACTTCTATCACTTAATTGAAATTTTCAAGTTTTATAATTCAAGGTGAAAATAGATTTTCTCATCATCATAAACTTTTCAAACTAAAAACTACATCCTTTGCCAAATTTTAGAGGTGTGTATTACTTCTATAGCATAAAACGGGGAGCTTGTATAAGTCTCACCCATTATGTAATGGGCAAATGGAATTTTTGGAAGTGTTTGTAGTGTGGTTCATAACCTGTGTCCCAAAGGCGCATCAAACATCCTAGACAAATACGAAAAAATGGTGGTCCCACCAAAAACTAAAATACTAGTATCAAAAAAATCATTTTCTATTATTTTTTAATTTATGTTACCATGGTTTAGATTCAAGTTAAAAAAAAAGTGGATCGGTAACCAGATCGGCCATCTAGAAAACCGTATTGGATCTATCCGGATCAAAGAATCAATCACTCTTGGCCTCAAAAAAAAAATCAAAGATCATTAAAAATCTTTAAAAATAATTTTTTTGAGTTTTGAAATAAAAAATGGGGTTGTTATTTTCAATAGAGAGAAAATCCGGTAGTCTAGATCGCCAAAGAGTGGCATTTGAGAAAGTTGTGGCTTTCTTGGTAAGAATATCAGCCACCATATTGCCCTTGCGAAAAATATGGGTTATGGTCTAAGCACGACCTGAAAGCTTATAACGACAGTTAGCAGCAACAACATCAAGTGACCATAGAGTTTTGCATCAATCATGGATTACATTAACAAATAATAACGAATCACTCTCAATATGTAGGGGAAAGCAATTTAACTAAATGACCAAGTCTACGCTTGCTAGTAAAGCATGAAACTCTGCATAGTAATTTGATGTTATTCTCTAAGGATTGCCAAAAGTTGTAATGAAGGAGCCAACATCACTTCTGATAATGCCTCCACCACCTACGAGCCCAAGATTTTGAAATGAAGCCCCATCAACATTCAATTTGAAATGATTTGGACGAGGAAAAGACCATGCAACTAGTATGGAGTGTTTTGATTTTTTGGTGTCGCCACGTAATATGGAGGTTGTCAACAATTGCTCTATCCGATAAGTGGAAGGACCAGGCTTTAGCATCCGCCATCTCTTTTATATGAGAGATAATTCTCTTGAGCAAGTGTTCCTGTTTAGATGCCTTCCCCTGGAAAACTCGATGATTCTATTATTCCCATAATATCCATTCAATAATCGAGGCTGTTACGTTATGTACTTTCATTATTTGCAAAAATACATGAATATTGAGATGTTGCTTTATTGTTTGGATGTCTGTATAATTATGAATTATAATATAATATTATAATATTGTATCAAAATGACTTAAAAAATATTAAAAAACACTTCTATGTTATAAGATTAAAAATAACAATAGCCCTTATAAAATAAAATTAGTATCACATCAAACATTTATTAATTCTCTTTACTCCTCCAAAATTATCATAACCTAACTAATACAATATTATACATTGAAATTGAAATGATTGGTTTATATTTTATAATTATTTTACCATACAAATAAGAATAAAATTAAAAATTATTTTATAATTTAAAAAATCTTATTTACAACTATAACAAAAAAAAACTAATATATTATTATATAATTTATAATGCAAATAAGTTAATAAATAAAATATAAAATTTAGCAATCAATGTATAATTATTTAATATTAATTATAATATTATAATAAATATAATTCAAAAGAATACTAGAAAATACTTTCGTATCATATGATCAACACTAAAAATAAATCCCCTGATGAATTTCAAGGCTACGATATTTTAAAAAATGTAAATAAGATTTTCCCCTAAAAATGGAAAATAACGATGCTCGAGAGTCGACAGAAAAGGGTAAAAGTTTTACGCACACGATCATAACAAGCCACGCATGACGCTAAGAGATTCCAAAAGCTTTGTAAGAATTTGTTAAAAAGTATACACGCACGCGTGAGATAAGCCAATTCCATCACAACTAAAAAGTATACACGCACGCGTGAGATAAGCCAATTCCATCACAACAATAGTCCCATGCGTGAGGAGCGTAAAGCAATAGTCCCACATCGAAGCCTTTTAGAGGTAACAATTCAGGCAGAACCAGCTACAAAACAACAGCCGGCTCGATCCACTTGTTTTATAAGGACATATATCGAGAACCTATCGCGTTGAACAGTTTTTGATTCGGATCAAACGATTCTAATTCAAATTGCCAAAATTGTTAATCCTTAAAATTTTGATTCTAAAACTATTTTGCAAAATGATTTTTGGTGAGGAGTTCGTGTAAACAATAATGAGAGAACTCATCGACATCCGACCTTTCCTTTTATTTTCGTGTGAACATATTTCTCTTTTTTCACTATTGGTGAATGAAGTTGTTGTACGACATGTTATATAATGGCCGTACGTGGTACCCTTTCCCATTTATGTGCATCATCATAAATAACTTAAATTTTTATTATCCCAGTACCTATACCATAACCCATTGTCTACTTTACGGACAGTTGGGTTGTCTGGATCCAAGGATATGCAAAAACAATATTTTTTATACTCAGGGTATTCCACACAAGAACATGGTTGGCAAATTTTTTTAAGAAAAATTGCATAAAGCTCTCAAAAATAGTTTTTTCAGGCATTTTACCGTTTCTAATTTTTCTTAACGTATTTTTCTCAAAAATCAAGTTTCATAGTAAATACTCCCCAATACAAAATATTCATTTTTTTTTACAAAAATACCCTTCTCGTATATAACAAATCATTTTCGGGGCCCAATAAAAGGAACCGTCTGACCGCGGTTGTATATTGCCGGACCCATCCATTCTGCCAAATTGGAATTGTATATTGCCGGGCGGTCTATTTCAGACACAATTTTCAATTTTGCCAGACCGTGGCTCATAGATGCCGGACTGCTCATTAATCTAGAAACAAATTTGGGACCGCCTCTTCCAAACTCTAAGCCGCCATGATGAAGTATCGGACCGCTATGGTGACCGTTCCAAATCAGTGACTTAAGTGCCAGACTGCCTCTTCCAAATGCCGGACCGCCACTGTGAAGTGCCGAATAGCAAAGGTCAATATGTGAGGCAATGGAGGGGTATTTTAGTCTTCTTTTTTTTCTTTTTTTTTTTTGAGTTGAGAGGTATTTGCTAGGAAATATGGTTTTGGGAAAAAGTTGCTAGAAAAAATTGGGTTGGGGGTAAATTTCTTAGAAAGTCCATTTTTTAGGGTTTTATGCAATTTTTTCAATTTTTTTTATACAAAATCTAGGACTCATCGTCACTAGGGATTAAGACAATGAATAAGCCTACGAAGAAAAAAGGCTGGTAGTAATAAAGATGTTTCTTATAAAAACAATCAATTGGCTGTTACAATTAACCTAAAAACATATTATGCGCTCAGGCACTTGTTTGTATTTGGATGTTTGTTCCAAGAATGGCCAAGTAGATGCAAAATTTCTTCAGTTTTCAAAGTGCAAGAACTATTCATCTTTTATGGTGATGCCGACCATACGGATTCGAGTCTTTTCCAACCCAAGGATGATGGGATGATGATGCAATTCACGATTACAGGGAGTTTAAAATCCAACTTTTATTTTTATCTTGGTTATTAAAATTCAAGGATCAAATACACTTTTTTTTTTTTTTGTTGGTTAATGAGGGAGCAAGGTTTAGGGAAGTGTAAAAGGGGTATTTTTCTTGTTTGGAGAGATAGTATCACGAGTCACATTGTTTCTAATAGACCTCAATCGTCAGATTTTTGGAAAGGTATTGTTGGTGTGAGGGCATGTAAGATGGTTTGTGGTTAAAGGTGGCAAAGTTAGGTTATGGCCTCATAAGTGGCTAGTTAATGTTGCATGGAAGTTCTTTTATCCACAAGTTTTCAATAGATGCTAAGACCAAATTGCCCGGGTTGAATAAAACTAGGTGGTGCAAGGTACTTGTGGCCATTGGAACATAAAAATGTTGTATAATTGGGTCCCAAATTTTGTGTTCCAACAATGGTCAATTATGCATTTAGAGGTGAATTTGATTTATATGTCTTCAAATTTGGAGGATTCGATTGTTTGGGAGTTGGAGAATGATGGATTGTCGACAGTGAAATCTTTGTTTTTTGACAAATAGTCCACAGTGAAATCTACCTATAGACACTTCTATCACGATATATTTTGAGAAGTTCAGAGCTCTTTGAACAAGGTTTGGAAGTTTGTAATACCTCACAAGATACAAGCATTCATATGGGTCCTTTTTCAAGGTAAAACCCTCACCAATAACAATCTGCAGAAGCGAGGGAAAATTTTAGTTAATGTGTGTACTTTTTTGTAAAGAGGATGAAAAAAATTGTGACTTTTTTTTGCATTGCCTTTTTGCTAGAGCCTTGTGGGAGTGGGCTTTTTGGTTGGTGGGGTTCATATGGTTCTGGCCTAGGAGCCATTCATACATCATGTTGCAGTTAGAGTTGCCTAATTTGCCGAAGTTTGGTTGGATTGTGTGGATGATCTTTCAATCAGCATTTCCATGGGAGATTTAGAAAGAGAGAAATAGGATATCGTTTGAGGGCATTCTTTTGGAGATGGAAGAAGTCCATAATAGAATTTTACATGACCTTTGGAGCTGATTTTCAGTCACCAAAAGAAGGCGCTCAGGTGGATATTTGGACCAATTTGAAGAATATTATTGTGAATGTTTCCTGACTTCCGAGACCGAAGGGGAGGTGGAATCTTCTTATGGAGGGTGCAATCAAACTAAATTTTGAGGGTAGCTCTATAGGCAATTCGGGGGTATCGGAACGTAGAGGAGTTTTTAAAAATTCTTTAGATATGTTGTGCTCCTTTGTTGTGCCTTGTACAAATACAATGGGTAATGAGGCATAATTTATCGAGGAGAGGTTTACGTGGGCTTGTTGTCTTGTTGAAGGTAATTCCCAAAATGTTATAAATTGGTGCAAGAAGATTAGTAAGCCACTGTAGAGATTATGGCATATCTAGACTTAGGTAATGGATATTTTTCAAGGATGGGTAGTTTCTTTCTATCATGTGTATCAAGAAGTTAATAATGTGGCTCATAATCTTGCCAAATCTGAGGATTCATTGGGATTTATTGTTGTTGTTGCAGAGCTCATTCTTTGTTGATTCGTGATCTCGAAGTACACTTGGCTTTCTTATTAATAAAAATATATAATAGTATAAAAAAAAAAAAAAATTTTAAAAAATGAGCATCTCTTCTTCTTTAGCATTATTTACAACTACTCGTTTCCTTCGTTATTACATATATTTCTTTCTTGTTTGCATAAAAAAACAAAAAAAAAGAACGGATTAAATTTCCCAGGTTCCTTTCACATGAACGTTTGGATCCCCTCTTTGATGTTTTCCCTCAACTATTACCACATGAACGCAGGGTCCCACTTTGAACGGTCCCGATCTCGGTCCTGCCATCTCAATTCCATCGATTCGTGGGTTGCTGAAGGAAATTGCTCTTTCGGCGGGGCCCACGTAATAGGGTAGGGTGCTGAGCACACGTGGAGTATAAATAAGGAGGATCAAATGGTTCAGTTTTTGTAGCAGAAAGTGGGGTTCGTTAGTTTCAGTTTCAGTTCCGTTTTGTTTACCCTTCGGGACTTCAAGCTCTGCAACTCCAACTGAACCAGAGAGCCTGTCAAACCCTAAAAACTTCGACCTACAAACTAACACTATTCTAGAACTACCTCAAAGCTCCATTTAAGTTCTTCAACCAGCTTTGGCGATGATAAAAAACCAGCAAGCTCTGCAAATGACTACGCAGGCCAGAAAGCACAAGCTTCAACCAGCTCCTCCTCACCCTAAGAGGCTACGATCCAAGATTGCTCGCAGGAAAATCCAGAATCTATCGGAAAATGATCCGGAATTTGGACGTTTTCCGGCTATTTCCTCCTCATCAACGAGTTTTTCAACTGGATTATCCTGTACTTCAAGTTTGACAGTTACCGGAAATCAAAGCCAAAATACCAAGGCCAGAAGCATTTGTAAGAGGAGAGGACAAACGGGAGCAACGAAATTAGGTGAAAAGTATCAGGATAATAGAGGAGAGAATCGTGGCTTGGAATCACTTCTGAAAGCTGATGATCAGAGCTTTTGTGGAGTGGTGAAGCTTAATCAAGAGACTAGAAAGAGGAGGACTACCTCTACTTTGCGAGGAAAAGTAGCAGGAAGTTCACGGGGAAAAGAGAAAATCAGTATTCAGAGAGATGTTTTTTCCGGCACTTCTTGCTCCGAAATTGTGATTGAAGATAATTCTCGAAGCTATAGCAAATCGGCTAAGTTTGGGGAAGTGATAACCACGAGAGTGACCAGATCTGCTCTGCAAAAGAGGGAAGCGAGAAATTCATCTGAAATTGACGCAAATAGAGCAAGTCAGTCCCATTTTTTGGTGAATTCTAGCTCTGGAAAAGAAATTGAAGCGAATTCTGGCCGTTTTAGCAAATTAGAAGTTGTTTCAGAGGAGACAATTGATCAAAACACCAGATCAACTTTTCGGAAGGAAGCAACCAGTGCATCGCCAAATCAAGAAGAAAATGGAGGCAATTCACTCGCATTTTCAGGTACATCTTACTTGGAGCCTGAGCCTAAAGAAGTTACTAAAACAAGAAGAAGATTAACTTTTCGTAAGATATCAGAAGAGAATTCGTCAAAAATTTATGAAAATGGATTAGAACTCTCGGATACTTCTTGCTTACAACCCTCCATTAAAGATGACTCTCTGAGCTTCACCGAATCAGAGTCATTTTGTAGAGACACGACAGAGGAAAACACCAAATTTCAGAGGAATGCCGGAAAATTCACACTCAAACTCCCATTTTCTGGCGAAAAGGTCGCCGCGAAATGGTCTCCTGAAAGGGAACCAAAGGATTTTCCGGCCATCGCTTTCTCGGACACCTTCTGCCTGGACTCCATCGCACGTACGAGTACCAGAGACTTCTCCGAATCTCACCACCAATTCCGTGAAAATTTCCTCCCTTGCCCTTCTGAGTCCACTATCGAGTTGATAAAAGAGGACTCGAACTCGGACTTGGCATGCTCAGAACACTTATCAAGCGTTGATTCAGCATGTCGCAATGGAATCGACTCGCCACTTTATCTGTTCGAGTCAAGGAATTTTCTTGCTAACTTTTCAGGCAAGAACACCGTAAACTGGGATCCCGGTTCCCCTTGCCCTAGCTATGCCCAATTCTCTTCCTCTCCTTCCTTTTCATCAGTATCCTCTGATTTTTCGGAGTGTATGGCTACGAAATCTTCATCACATTCAGAGACTTTCTCTCTCTTCCTGAAGTACACAGAGGAGCTTCCGAGGTTCAGGCCAAACGTGGAGTACTTTAAGGCTGGACATGGCGGCGATTTTGCAGGCGATTTTAAGGTAACTTTCTCTCTCTAAGAATGACCGAAAAACCCTAAACACTTCTAGAATGTCGGCTATGTCCTGTACTCGTTAAGCTATATGAAAAAGAAAAGTCTTTCGTTACATAAACCAACAAATGGGATTGAAATTTCAAACACTTTTTCATAACTATTATTCTTAGTCTATAGCTAATGGAAAAAAGAAAAGGAAAATTATTTCATGAGTCCGGGGACCCATTTCTATATTTGCCTCCCTGAGGTATAAAGGTGGGGAAAATTATTTCATGAATCAGGGATGCATTTCTATATTTGTGGCCCCTGAGGTATAAAGGTGATTCATCTAAAAACATGATCCATCTAAAAACAGTTGAAACTAGTTGTTTAAATATATTTTTTATAAAACTAGTACTTTTTAATTTTTTAAATTTAAAATTTAATTCTTTTTTCGTATTCGTGATCACCATGTCCTTAAAATTAACTCCCCAAATCCATCTCAAAAATAGATTTTTAAGAGGAGCTGCATTTTAACATGGACTCATAACAACCATGACCGAAAAGAAAAATGGTAAAACTTCAATATCAGTTTTCACCTTCTGCTGGCCCGAGACCTAAGATTTTGGATTTAGAAGTTAAAAAGGTTAGGACCGAGTTTAGTTCCAAAGCTTAACATGAGGTACACATCTATGAGATTTTCAGGAATAATTTTATTCGCACACTGACATGACATGAGCATGTGAACAAGAGAGTAGAGAGAGAGAGAGAGAGTAAACAGGCAAGCTCACACGCGGTGAATCTAGAAAAAGAAAATTGTGGTACTTGAATGGTTGCTTACATACCAGGAGAGAGACTTATGGCAGTTGCTGAAAATGCTTTTCTTCTATTTAATGTGTGGTGTCTGGAATTGGATGTTTGTGAGGGGTTAAATGCTATGTTTTTGCAGCTTTCGGAGTTTGCAGAGTCGGCGATGGAAGAAAGTTACATGAGGTTCAGATACAGGGAGAGACGTGAGGTGTTCCTTCACAACTACGTTCAACAACACAGATCCACCGACTATGGCGATCTCATCCGAACCCAGCGCTCCCTTCTCGTTAACTGGATCGTCCAGGTATAACTTTAAATCACCAAAAAATACTTTTCAGAGCAACAATCATTCGAATCCCGTTTTTCAACAGAGAGCCCGTCTTTTCTTCATCTAAGAGAGAGAGCAACTGTTATTTCTCACTCTTATTACTGAAAATAACAGTTGCTCTCTCTCTCTCTCTCTCTCTCTGAAAAATGACTTCTCATTCTTCTTACTGAATATAACAGTAAATCTCTCTCTCTTTTCCCCTGCTAACCCTTAATATTTGTTTCAGCGTTCGAAGAAATTGGGGCTTCAATGGCAAACGTTGTTTTTGAGCGTGAACTTATTGGACCGATTCTTATGCAAAGCCGTGTTCAAGACAGAGAGTCGCCTCCAAATCCTGGGAATCGCTTGCGCCACTCTAGCCACTAGGCTTGAAGAGAACCAGCCACTTAATAGGTTAGTTACCCTTCAAAATTTTCTCCGTTGAAAAATTTCTTTTCCTGAATAATTTTACTGATCTATATGACCCCTTTGTGAATGAATTTCGCCTGAGTCATTTTAAATTTAAATTTACATTTCTTCATTTAGGAATGATTTTCGCGTGAGCCATTTTACACGAATGACTTTTGGCTGAAGAATTATGCATTGATTTTACTCCTTTGTATTTGCTTTAGGTAATTGGACAATCAAATTGCATATAAAATTGTAGGAAGAAATTTAGTACTAAATCTAAATTGGGTATTTTTCTTTTCTTATTTCGTGGTTTCCCCTCTTCTGGTTTGGTGTGTAGCGTTAGGCAGAAGACTTTTCAGGTAGGGAGCAATGTGTATAACAGGTGTGAGGTGGTGGCCATGGAGTGGGTGGTTCAGAAAGTCCTTTGCTACAGATGCCTTCTCCCCACTACATTGGACTTCTTATGGTCTCTCTCTCTCCTAATTTTTCTGAATTCGGTTTCTTTCTCCTGGTTTCAGAAGGGTACATTTCTCTTAGTTTTTTTAACTGGGTTTCTTTCTCCTGGTTTTAAAAGGCCATATTTTTCCTACTTTTCCAAATTTCTCCTGGTCTCAGAAAGGTATATTTCTCCTAGTTATTTGAAATGGGTTTCTCTCTCGTAGTTCATTTGAGGTGAGCTCTTATCCTAGCTCTATGAAGGGTCTTTCTTTCTCCTGGTTTTATGATGGGGTTTCTTGGCTCTGTCTCTTTCTTCCAGTTTTATGAAAGGGGTTTTCTGTGTGTCCCTGTGTATGGTTTTCTCTGGTTTTATGATGGGGATTGGGCATGGAAACATGAACGGCATTCATGATGGGTATACGTGATTCGTGTAGGTTTTATTTGAAGGCGGCGGGGGCAGATGCAGAGATAGAGGTAAGCGCAAGAAATCTGGCTGTTTTGTCACTTGGGGACCAGGAGTTGCTAGGGTATTGGCCCTCAACCATTGCTGCTGCCCTTGTTATCCTTGCATGCCTCGCTGCTGACTACGACCAAGCTTCCGAGTGGGTCATTGAGGTCGCTCTCCTCCTTTAGTGATGACTCTATTTGACTATTGAGTGCTCTCTCACTCTTATCTGGGTTAAAATCTCTCTCACACACGCATATATATATATATATATATATATACTAACAAAAAATTGGAAAAATTTTGTACCGACCTCTAATTTTTCATCGTATTTCACGGTACCTTCGTCTCTTTTTTTCTATGTTTATTCACTTTTTGACACAAAAATTAACCGCAATAAATTATTTTATTCCATCTCAATCCAAAAGTTTTTTAAAAAAGTGCAAAATAAGGTTAAAAAGGCTTTTGGATATGAAATAAAACAATTTGTTGGGACTAATTTTTGTGGCCAAAAGTGAATAAACGTAGGAGAGAAGACATGAGGGGGTACAACAAAATACTCCGAGAGTTTTTTTTGTGCCACTTGAAAGAAAAATAGAAGGAGGGCCTATTGTGAAATAATATGGGGAATTAGGGATCTATACGGTATTTTCCCTTAATATCACCTAGTGATTAAAAAACTAGTCAGCATGGATTCGCTCGCTTTAATTTGGAAATCGATCACTCGTTCTAGCTCTATGTATATATAGAAATGTGGTTGAGTCTAAAGGGACTGACGGTTCTGCATAGTAAAACAGCGATCCAGACTGCCCATTCACCGATTTTTGCCCGGTTCATGTGTTTTTCCGCCGGTTCACTGTTTTTTCTGCACAGTTAAACAGTGATCTAGATCGCCGATTCAGTGATCCAAATCAATATTTGGGGTAGATGATCTCGGTTATGGATCCGTTTTTTAAATTGCTAATATCACTCATTTACTACAGGAAATGCTCTCCTTGTTTTCTAAATGTGAATATAGCTGTTTTCTACTTGTGTAGACTCATATTAGGAGCAAAAGCGACGATCTTGCTGAATGCATACAGGTAAAGCCACATTCCGCCCTTTGCTTTTTACTTTAGAAAATTTTTCATTTTTATTGGGATGAATAAATAAAGGATGCGGATTTTATATTGTTTTAACCTAAAAGTAAAATTGCAACCTTATATAAAGTTCTTTCATAAATAAATTGGGTTTTATATAGTTGTAATCTAGAAGTAAACCAGCCATATAAAAAAAAAATCATAAATAAATGGGCTTAAACTTTTGAAATGGTTAGTAAATGATACTAAGGAGTATGGGAAACTTGTAATCCTCAGGGTTATCATAGAGAGTTGGACCCACTATTGGGCTAATGTCTCGTTTTGGTGGGATTCGACCTTTTCACCCGGCGATGACCTTAAAGTGTACATGATTTTGCCCATAATGCTAAAAAATAAAGATTATAGTCCTTAAGAATCAAAGCAAAAACACCATTTAATTTGAACCCTCGCAGTGGGTTAGGGGTTTTGTGTAGATACTATGGTTATTGTGGTTAATTTCAGGCTCTTTTTTTCTGCCGATTTCCATTTTTTTAAAGGTAGAAAGAAAATAAAAAGGGATACTGAAATTTTATGCTTTTGTTGTTGCAGAGTCTTGAGTGGCTAGTGGAGCATACCTCGTAGAGTACAGAGCCAATATTCTCTACTTTTTTTTCTTTTTTCTATTACAAATTTCATTACGGTGGCGTAATAAGCCAGCCAATGTCTCATGCAATTCCTTCTTTTTACGCTCTGCTGGATAAATAAGCGGCCATCACCTGAGTGGGCTGGCACTCCTCTCTCTCTCTCTTGAAGACGATTGTCCTGAGCAACAATTGATTCTTTTTGAGCAAGTAAATGACATTTGATTTGCCTGAGCATTTATCAGGCTTTATTTGTTTCAATTTTGCACCTCTGCTGTTTATGGTTTGTTAATGAGAAGAGTAAACCATGCACAACTGAGTATTTGAATCCGAATTAACCTTCTCCTATAAACACTATGGCGATGGTGTCCCAGCTGACGTGCTTAAAATGGTACCCTTCTGTAAGTGCTAATTATACACATAAAAATACCAGCTCTCTCTCTCTCTCTACCCATTCAAACATCGTATAAGGCCCCAGGCTTCCCTTGAGGGCAGGGCCTGATCTCGAATACTAGTCCATCGATGGTTTAACTGATTCCTATAGAAAATACAATGCGGAGCTGTGGAGGGTGTAAAAGGAAATGGCAGTAGCATCAGAGAGAAACGACTCGCTGTAGCACAGTGACGAGGCATATTTATGGCATAGGTCTAACCTATAGTGATAACAAAAACACAATGAGTTGAGTTCTGAAAACTTTGTGTTTTGGCCAGGTTTCTCATTTTATAATTAAACAGAAAATAATTAATAAAACTGTTGTGAGTTGTGGCATGCAGAACGCATGTTTCCATGTTTAGACATGGTTAAGGTCTGATTTTTAAACACTGGTCTAACCGTACTGTTAAGTAGTGCAAATCCAGGCTTCAAATTGGCAAACAAATAGACAGTCAAAATTCAAAACTGTAGGACAGGCCAATTCCATATCTCAATGTCCCAGTAAAATGCCCAAAATAGATAAAAGTAGCCCAATGCATCAAGTTGCATTGTGAATTCATTCTTTGAGAGAGAGAGAGAGCACGATCATATTAACAAACTAGTAAGTACATACAATCCCACAATCATATGATACCCAGCTTATCAACATCCCTTAACTCATCTGTTGAATGAACAGCAAGAGTGGCTTCTCTCGGTGAGTCAGCAAGGTGAATACGCGCAAACTCATCAACAAGGTCAGTCCTTTGCCTGGAAATTGTGTCCATCTTCTCTTCCTCTGCCTTGCCAACCTTCTCTTTGGTCATGAGGCTCACATCTTCAGCTGCCTTCGCCACACGGTTCAAGGCACCAGTAACCCAAGAGGCACCCGTGGACACATACCTGTTAAAGAAAATAAGTGAGATTGCATTCTTCGTCATTTTTCTTCTTTTTATTCCAATAATACTGAATTTTTCTTATTTTTCTTATTTTATAGTGGGAAATATAGTGAACAATTCAAAGTATTTTTACACTGTAATCATTACCATGCACCGAGTTTGTTTGTTAACTAATCGCCTCTTAGTACAAAGACATTTTCTACTTGGGGCAATTTTATGCATTGCCAGGGTTAGAATGAAAATTACAGGTAAAATCCACCTTATTAGTTGATTATTGGAGGGGTATTACACTAATATATCTTCAATAAAAACGATACAATGACCCCTAGAGTGGAGCAGGCCAAAACATGACTATAGGATAAAAGACATTCAGTGTAAAGAAATATAAAGTAGGATAAGAATTCACCTTTCGAAATGCCCAAATGAGGGACAGTGTTGTAGAGATGGAAGCCACAAATGGGGTTATGTGTTGTCTGGGGAGTCCAACCTTTTCTCTATCACCTTACGTATTTTTAGGGCATACAGGAGACAAAGGGACTATGGGAAACCATTACTCCTTAGGTTTATGGTGAACTTAGAATTATAACATACTCCATTTTAATCTTGCAAACTATACAACAAGATTAAAATATGGACCATAATTTGGCTAAGTTTCCCTTTATATTTGTATTTTACCTGCAATAGGTGAATACAAGCTTAAATCTGGATACAAATGGGTTATAATTTTTCCATGCCAACAAATGGATTGTATTGTAAAACAAGAAAATAACGAGTTCATAAAAATTTTAAATTTAAAAATTTGTACAAGTATTTCTGTCTTCCTGAAATTGTTAAATTAGTTTCTACATATTTTCTTTCTTCTGGATTTTGTTTATTACTTTCTTAGAGATTTTTCAAGCAAAAAGGGCATCAAAATATTGAAATTCTCTTGAGAAATCACAACATAACAAAATTCACAAAGGCAATATCTGTCACTAGGGCTAGGACAGAGTTCATAAATTTCCTTCGACCATATGGTACCTGTTGCTCATGATGGCAGAGCCCGCATCAGTCACCTTCTGTTCAGCTGCAGCCAGGGCTAATTTGGTCTTTTCGTACACCTGAAATTTCTCATCCATCTCCCTCACCTTCTCATTCACAGCAGCAGTGCCAATGCTAAGTTTCTCACTAAGCCCAATCTTTCGGTCAAGTGAGGCCACATTGGAGGTGAGGTGGATCTTCTCATCAAAGGCCTTGGCCTTGCTCAATGCATCCTTTCCTAAGACAAAACCCTTTGCAAGCATGCTGCTCACTACATCCTCAGCTTTCTTTATCACTGCACCAGCTGTGCCTGAGAGTGTGCTTTCATTTGCCTGAGGCAAATCACTGTCAGATATTAGAAAGAGAGAGGAGCCATGGGGTCCTTAAACAGTGTTAAACCTCAGATAGGGAGGCTAGATCAGTCATCCAGTGGACCAATCAGGATCGCAGATCCCAGTTGGATCAGACCAATTCTCCAGCATGGGAATCGGCCCAAAAATATTTGTGTAATACTTTTAACATTTGAGAAAATAGCAATTGAGAAAAATAATTTAAAAGGGGTGGGAACCGCACTATTAAGATGATCTACCAGGTTCCCTGAAAAACTCGCCCAGTTCTCTGACACAACTAGGTGAGTGTCTAAAAGTCGGACTAGTTTCTGGTTTCTACTAAGAGCCTCATCAGTCCTCACCGATTCCCAATGATTTCCTAAATCACTGTCTTCAACACTCAATAGATGTCCATAAATACAAGAAAACATGTCTCAAACATTCTGAAAGATGACACGTGGGTCTTAGAAACCAATGCTAGTAACATTGGACATTTATCTTTAAGGATATCAAAAAGCGTTTAGAAGGGAAGGGCTGCTCAGGGATGAAAATAGTAAACCAATTTGGTTAAAAAATTGGAACTGGTCCAGGAATTGGGAGAACATGAAGGGCAAAAACAACCAGTGAAAATACGTTAAAATAAAGAATATCACAGCGCGCCAATCAGCAATGATTTTTTGGAAATTGGAAACAATTTTATAAGTGCATTATCTCAAGATTGATAAGATGAGTTCCATAAATGAACTTATAGAGACGATATATGACTGAACATGAATAGGGTTTTAGCATACCGAAGGTGGGGGTAAGGCCTCAAGAGGGAGTTGATAATTCTCAGCGGCAGCAATGGTCACAGAAAGGTCAGCAATTGTTGCTCCCTATGTAAAGAAAAGATGAGAAAATCTGAGGTAAATCCGAACAGGTCAAAGCAACGTCCACAGAAACCTCTCTCTCTCTCTCCTCTCTCTCTCTCTCTCTCTCTCTCTACTACTACTACTACTACGTACTACGTACTACGTAACTACGTACGTAACGTACGTACGTACGTACGT